ACTAGATTCACTTTCCTATCAGAAAAGATACTGTTGAAGAAAATCCAAGCACTTTTACTGTCCTAAAACGTGATGACAGACAAAAAAATAAAACAAAAAATAAAAAAAAAACACACATCATTGTAAAATCACTAAAATCACTAAAATCAATACATTCATCGTTTCACTCAGAATCTAAAATAGATTAACTTTTTTTTAACTGAGTTAAGTTAATATTTTTTTCTATATGAACTTTTAACTTATCGAGTTAAATTTATAATTTGTTAACTGCTAACTTTTAACTAATCGATCTTGTGTCCTCTTAACTTAATTTAACTTGAGTTAATTATTTTCATTAACTTGCCCACCTTTGTATATAGGTTACGACTATTATACGAGTCAGTCAAGGCAATCTTATAGGTCTTAACTTGTATGAAATGAACATATCAAACTTATCAAAGATTTTTAAAACAAAACAACTAGGTACCTACCTAATTAAATAATGTATTGCTACAAATAATTATAGGTATTAAATTTATATAATACAGTCGATTCCGCTTTATTGGGACACATCGGTTGGGTGTTATTTTGTCCCAATAAAGCGGTTGTCCCAATAATCCGAAATACAAAAACCAACATATAAATTTGTTGAAAAACTGATTTGTTTTATATATTTTTATTATTACAAATTACAAACAATGTATTATAGAAATTATTTGATAGTATAAAAAGAAAAACATGATATAACCTAATTATTTATAAAAATACTTACATATAAAGTAGGTACATATAAATATTTTTTATTTTTTTATTATGTATTTTATCTTATTTAAAAAAACTGTTGATTTCGGTACTCCTAAAATTTCCGAAAGACGACGTGTATTACAGCCTGGTAGCTGTAATTTAATTTTGTCCAGAATTTCTAATTTTTGAGCAAACGATAAATCTTTACGTACACGAGCCATCGTTGCTACACGCGACAAACACGACTGATGCACCATTGCACCAAATAACATTTAACAACTATCACATTTGAACATATGATAAAAGATAAGATAAAATAAAGTTAAATAAGATAAAATGTAATGTAATAATCGATTACTAGAGTCCGTCACGATTGTTGAACTATTGATTTATTAATATACTCGATAAAAATGTCCCAATTATCCGGATTCGTGGCCCAAATAAGCGGCGAATGTTTACCCTACAAGTATACATTTGTTTTTGTATTTGAAGAATTGTCCCTATTAAGCGGTTGTCCTTATTAACCGGTGTCTCTATTAAGCGGAATCGACTGTATTAAAATTATTGAAGCTGAAAAATGTTCTTTATTTAGAAACGAGGAAAAGAACTTGTTTCTTTTTTTCAAGCCATGAACGAGAGATGATTAAGTTCCTTTTTAACAAGAACTAATTATTTTTTAAAGGAAATTTCCAAGCACTGCAATATTGTAATACCAAGATACACCTACATCTTTTTCTTCTTCGGTAAACTCGGCCACTAGGACCATCCCGACATACATCCTTGCCTCCAGTTTTCTCTATTCGATGCCTGTAATCTCCAATCTTCTCCTCCACCTAATGCTTTCACATCATCCCTAACTTCGTCCTCCCATCTCCGACGTGGTCTTCCCAGCGGTCTTTTTCCATTAGGGTTCTCCTCCAGTACCATACGTATGAGTGGGTTTTGACTACGCCAGGCATGCCCAGCCCAAAGCAATCTTCTGTTCTTTATTGTTTCGAGTATACTGGGTTTATGAAAGAGTGTCTCTAGTTCATCATTTTTCCTTATTCTCCATTCCCCACTAAGCATGTCTTTTACTGGTCCAAAGATCTTCCTCAGTATTTTTCTTTCCAGAACTAAGAGTTTTCTTTCATCACTTTTCCTTAATGACCACGCCTCAGCTCCATAAGTAATAACAGGTCGTATTAATGTGATGTATAATTGTAATTTTAACTCTCTTGAAAGTGATCTTGATCCCAGTAATTTCGCAAGACCATAAAGGCATTTATTTCCTGACTGAATTCTTGTTCCTATTTCTATTTCGATTTCATTTCTCTCTGAAAGTATGGATCCTAGGTACTTAAATTGTCTTGTTCTTTTGAAATTTCGGTTGTTGATGTTAAGAGTTGGATATAATCTTATAGTGTCTCGTCTTCCTACTACCATATATTCCGTTTTGTCCTCATTGATATGGAGTCCAACTTTCAGTGCTGCTTTCTCCAGCCGGTTTAATAAATCTTTTAGTCCGTCTTGTGAATCCTCCATGATCACCAGATCATCTGCATAAGCCAGAAGTCCTATGGACGATTCCTGGAATTTAACTCCTTCTTGCGGTGTAATATTCATCTCTCTTACAACTTTCTCTACTACTATATTAAATAAGATTGGTGACATAGCGTCTCCCTGTCTTAATCCCGATTTAACTAAAATTGGGTCTGAGTTTGTATTTCCAACCTTAACTTTGACAAATGTTTCCAAAATGCTTATCCCAATCAGTTTTATAAGCTTGTCCTGAAAATGGAATTCTCTCAAGATGTTTATTAAGCTTTCTCTATGGATGCTATCATACGCCTTCTTAAAATCTATGAAAAGAACGTGTATTTCTCTATCGAACTCCCAGATTTTTTGAAATATATGTCTTAAAATAAATATCTGGTCTGTGGTCGATCTTCCAGGTCTGAAGCCACCTTGGTAATTGCCAATAATTTGTTCTGCTTTTGTTTTTATTCTTGTTAATAGGCAATTTGAAAAAATTTTATACGCCACGTTTAAGAGGGCTATCCCACGATAGTTATTGCAGTCTTGTTTACTTCCTTTTTTATGAATTGGACAAATCACCGCTGTCTTCCACTCTTCAGGCATTTTTTCAGTTGTCCAGACTTCGTGAATTACCTTCCATAACTACATTACCATTTCCTCTCCGCCTTCCTTTAAGAGCTCTGATTGAATGTTATCCTCTCCGGGGGATTTGTTATTCTTTAGCATGTTTATCTGTAATTTTATTTCCTCCAAGGTCGGTTCTTCACAATCCTGTGATTCTTGGATTTCCTGATTAAAATTAAAGGTTTCATTCGGTTCTTCACAGTTTAGCAACTTTTCAAAGTAACAGTATACACCTACATAGCGCTATTTTTTTTTTTTTTTTGATTTATGTGTTTTTTTATTCAATCTGTTACAAAGAAGAACAATAATAACAATTTATGGGTTAAAATGTTAAAATAAGAAAAATAAAAATAAAAAGGCAGAACAACTGAAGTTTGGGAACCTCTAGGTTACATAATATTATATGTATTACTATGAATATTATTAAAATATGGCATATTAAAAATAATAATTATACATTTCTTTACAAATATATTTATAAAAATAAATAAATAGATCTTTGGCACAGCTGGGCGGGAGTGCGGGACAGATATAGTATTTTAATATTTGGTGAACATTTCAAGTCTCTATTACAGTAAGTTATTAATTTTTGAATTCCAGAAAAATAGTCTGTTTTCCCCGATTAGTTTGAAAAGTACTTGGACAATATTATTTGTAGTTATAATCTAGAACTCTAGAATCTACATTCAATTTGATACCAGAAACGGCAGAAACCGTCCTCAAAGTTGAAAATGAATTATTTTTTACTGCTCTTAAAGCCTAAAACCAAAGACCAAAAAGAACAAACACATTGTTGTAAAATCAATACATTCATATGAAATAATTTAAAATGTATGTTTCACATAATGTAGTGGGTAGTTACTTATAATAGGTATTACATAGTATAATACAGCTATATAGCCTAGTATGTACAATATAAATGTACGTAGAATACAGATTAAACCCTAAAAAAACAATTGGATAATCGTAAAATGCTGAGGGTAGTGATCATGGTTTTTTTATTTGTTGTATTATACAAGGTGATTTTTTTATCGAAGAACACTCATTATTTCAAAAAGTATTAATGTTTAAGAAAATATTTTTTTACATAGTTTCAAGTTGTTAAAAAACAATATTTTTTATCCTTTTAATTTTTTAAGTTTTTTACTTTTTTGAATGACAACATCTAATTTTAATTTGATATTCAAAAACAGAATATTTTTCTGATTATTTTAATACATAAAAATTTAATTTAGGGCAAGTAGTTTATGAGTTATAAGTATTTAAAGTTTAGATGAGCGGAGTAGAGTGGTACGGGGTTACCCCGCGAAATGTTTGTCCTCTACTCCGCTCATCTAAACTTTAAATACTTATAACTCATAAACTACTTGCCCTAAATTCAATTTTTATGTATTAAAATAATCAGAAAAATATTCTGTTTTTGAATATCAAATTAAAATTAGATGTTGTCATTCAAAAAAGTAAAAAACTTAAAAAATTAAAAGGATAAAAAATATTTAAAAATATAATTTTTTAATAAAAATATTGTTTTTTAACAACTTGAAACTATGTAAAAAAATATTTTCTTAAACATTAATACTTTTTGAAATAATGAGTGTTCTTCGATAAAAAAATCACCCTGTATAATATACAATATGCATACAAATATGTTTTACTGGAAAAGAAATAATAATTACACGGTTGTAAATTGTGAGTTGTGGTCATATTAAAGATGGGTACTAAAGCAGGACTAAAGCAGTTTCAGACATTTGTTTTTTTCTTTTTTTTTGTATCATAGATATTTTAATTGTTTTGCTTTGAAAAATCCATTTTAAATTCAATCCCATAAAGGATAAACAATCATCATAACACAGAAATAATTTTAAGCAACTAAACCGCAAAACAGTATTTTATAAATAAAAGTAATTTATTCGATTTGTAATCTATAATAATATTGGTTCAGTAAAATAGCGATTCATACATAAAACATAATCAATAGTCACTAATGACCGGTATTCGGTAATGGATATTTTAAAACAATAGAGTCAATATTAATTTAAATTCCATAAATTAACGCAGTACCTATTAACTAGAGTTTATATTATAAAAATAATCTGTTATAACAAACAATTATTCAGGATGCATACAAAATTTAACTACTCAGAACATTTGATATCCGTTTCACATTCAACTTCTGTAGCACTTAAGATAACTTTCTGTCTGGAACACAAAAACAATTAAAAATTATACACAAAAGTTGATGCACTTTGTATAATAATATTAGAATATAGGGCTTAGATTTACATGTTATTACATGTTGTTAAAATGTATAATTAACCAACTTTGACAAGTGTAAAATCTATTTCTTATTTGTTTTTGAATAAAAAGATTTAAAAATAACTCACAAAATAAGCTTACTATTATTTTACATAATATATTTAAATAATATTCATAAATACACATTCTTATACATAATTTATGTTTTCTGAGGTCATTTCAAATTATATTTATACATTTTCATGTATGTTCATCTTAAAACAATACCATATTTTATTAGTTATATATTACAATTATAAATATTATATTAATGTATTTTATTCAAAGATGATATATCTGACCAGGCATGTATACATACCCCACCACCACCCCCTCCGAATATAAGGTTGCATCCAAAAACCGCACACTTTTGATTTTGACCCTAAAAAGGTCGATAGCCAAAAACCGCACAGCTTATCGGTCATTGTATAACAAATTACCGTATATTTATAGTGGGTTAAAACCGCACACTATTTTTAGTGAAAATAGTGAAAAGATAAGATTATAAGATATGTACTATTCAATAATCAAGTATTTAGTTGTCACTCGTTATTAGTCGGTCTCGATTCGGTTAGTGTACCTACGTCTATAATTTAGTGTTAAAACGTTAATATCTTAAATTTTTATAATGGATTTTAAAATTATTGAAAGTAACAAAGGGGGCAAGTGCTTATTACTTGACGATTTTAAATACAGAAAATTTAGAGTCAATATTAGTGGAAATGTGGTTTGGCGGTGTTATATTAAAAATTGTACATCCACGGTTACAACATGCAGTCAATTGAAGAATATACTAAAAATAAATAACACACACAAACATGAACAGGTGGAAACTGTGAAAATTCAAGAGGTACGTAATGTAAGTAAACGCAAGGCTTGTAATGACACTCATGAAAGACCGCGAAAAATAATACGGAAAGAGGTATCATCCATAGAGAATAATGAAGTAATAGAAAGCAATGACGTAAACTTAATAAGGAAGTCGATATATAATGAACATAGGAAACTTTTATATACTGTTATACATTTTTAAGTTGACATTAATTAATATTATAGGTATAACATTTTACAAGAATAAATAATTAATTATACATATGCATATGCGTTTTTTGTTTATCGACCTTTTTGGGGTCAAAATCATAACTGTGCGGTTTTCTGATACGACAATTTTTAAAATTGTGCAGTTTTAACCTATTAAATGTGTGCGGTTTTAACCTACCAAAAGTGTGCGGTTTTGTCCTGTATTTTATTAAAAGTGTGCAGTTTTTAAAGTCAACGGAATATAATAGTTGTGTAATTTATTTATATACAGGGTGTCCCGTGAGGATATACCTATTAGCCGTAGAGGGGGACTCGTCGCCCGGACAAAAACCGGTTTTTGCCGTTTTACTTATTAATTAAAAAAATTATTAAAAATCAGGAAATTAATGAAATTAAAATGTTGAAACGTCAATATTTTCAGAAAAATGAACTCTAAAAAATGGCAATCTTCAATATTTTTTTAAATAATTAACTAAAAAAATAATTTTTTTAACTTTTTTACCAAAACATAAAAAAAAATAAAAAATTAGTTATTTGTAGTCCTTACCTCTGTGAGTCTTAATAAGAAAACAGAATTACGATATCACTATTATTTCAGGAGATATCGCAATGAGTAAATCCTCACGGGACACCCTGTATATAGATTATGAACAAAAAAAAATCTACTATGAACCCCCCCCCCACACTCCAATTTTTTTTTTTGTGTACGTGCCTGTAATACCTGACACATCTTGCACATGCACTTCATTGCATTGGCGAAACTACAAGAACTGAGTTTTCTTAAGTGGACAAGTTCACAGCTTAAGTACAGAACATATTTAAATTTCATATTAAAATGTAAATCTTTTGTCAGAACCAATAATTATCTGTTGGGAGATAAAGGGTTAGGGGCAAGAGACCTTGAATGAATATATTATACAATCCCCATTATGAATATAGACAAATAGCCAAATAGGTAAGTAATTAAAAATATCATGGTAAAAATAATCATTGCCTTGCTCAAATAATAAAACTACTTTTATTTTAGCCTTAGAAATAAAAATAGTCAATAAGGATAAAAATTTTAATTCTTACTTTGAATTGCCTTTAGTTCCTGGTCCCCAGTATGGTGCAGGGTTCTGTTGATAACGTACTAATCCCTGCAATGATTTTGGTATAGTATTATATTTTTTATCAAAAATTATTTCAGTTGTAGATTGTTTAGACAAAATTGTTCTAGCTGCAACAGAGTCTTGTAATCGTTTTTCAGATACTGGATGTGTTTGAACCCAAGTTCTGATGACATCCCAAACAACTGATTGAGGTGCGTCAGTTTTAACACTATTTTGTGCACAATGGGATGAAGACACTCGGTATCCAGCACCCACTAATGCAGAACTAAAAATATTTATTATTTTATTATTATATCATATCGAAAGAAATAAGCTTATTTGTATTTACAAAAAGTATCTCAATGGCATTGCTTCACAATGAACAGTGTTGGTAAGTGATGGTACTGTATAGTACAGCGGAATATCCTGTAATTCTTCTTGCATCATACCCAGCATTCCTCTCATTCGCCTAACAGTCTTAAATTTTTTTTCAGCTTCTTCAGTTTTTATGTAATTGCACAATTTACTGAGGAATTCAGTGTTGTACAAAGGACCTGTCCATATAGGTCCTCCCACCTAAATAAAATAATTATTGAATTTCAATACATAATAATTAAATGAAAGATTAATATAAAATTTAAATTTTTTGTAAATAGTATTATTTATAGGTTTTAAATATAAATCACTTACCAAATGAGGAAATCCACAATGTTCACATTTTTTGTCAACTGGTGGACCAGACAAAAGATTAAATTTCATATTTTTTGAATCTGATTTAGCAGAACCCAATGGCAATAAAGTTGTCATATTACATCCTCTACACTTATACACTGTTGACATTTTGCTATAAATGAAAAATTGTTATTTAAATTTATTAATACATCAATATTGAATATTCCTAAACTTTTTCTTGATATTTGTTGATTAATTGTATTTATGTTATTTAAGACAAAACAATATTGTCTAAACTATATTTACCTAGACATCGATTTACACATAAAAGGACTAGTACGTATGACTACAAATACCCTTATATAAAAATCAGCACTTATTGATAATAATGGCTCCATATAACGACCATATCGAGTGCACACATTTGTAATTGTATGCAAAACAATTCTTAATGCCTGAAAATAAATATAAATAAAATAAATAAATAGATTCAAATAGCTATAGATATATAATATACCATTTCATGACAAGCTGGAGATCTTAATGATATTGAACCATATTTTGCATAACATGATTCTGGTGTATTACCAGCTAAGACAGCCATATCAGTGCAAGTAACTAACAACAATCCATTGTCAGCAAGGCTACATATAGCTGGATCTAATAAATTTGTTGGGCATCCATAAGGATCTAAATCAACAACATCAAATTTAGTTTCAGATTCAAATTGCCTTTTTCTCATAACATGTCTGTACAAAAAAAAAATATATATATATATATTACACATGATGTATTTATGTATTAAACTATATATAGTCCGAGCTAGAGGGACTGGGGGTTGTTCATTGCACAACATGAGGCATTCTACAGGTTGTACCACAATTTTTGTTGACGCGCTAAACCTACAGGAATGCAATTTTTGTATGTGAACGTTATCTAAAATATATCATTTTAATTGGCTAGTGTCGACTGGGGCGGGTTTGTTTGGTGTGGATTTAAGTATTAGGTAAAATCAATTAAATAGTATAATTTTGTTTCTGTTTCAATTTTAATTTAGGTTTGACTATGGCTTAAATATACAAGGTTATTGCAATAGTACCCCCACTATTTCATTTTATCAGGTTAAGGAATTAAAATGGCAGAGTAAGGGGACGACGTATACTGGCTATACTATGATATTATATGCTATTATATGGACTGTACCCTTACGCTGCCATTTTATTTTTGTTTGATAACAATATGGACTATGTGCAATAACCTTGTATATTTAAACCATGAGTTTGACAAATATTTAAAATTTTTTTTTAACATATTTTTAATTGAATTAAACTTCTGCTATTAAATTTCAATATACATATTAAATATAAATATATTATAATGTAGTATTATTTTAAATATTAACATGAAACATGTTTTTGCAATATTACACCTATTTAAAAAATAACTGAAGCAAAAACATTATAATTTTAAAATGGAATACAAAGTTAATTTCAAAAGTTTTTTCAATTGTTAATATTTATATGTCCACCCACGGCCTACAAGAATGTGAAAAATATTATTTTAATCCCTAATTTCCTTAAGTAACTTATTTATTTATCTTGATATAAATATATTTGAATATTAATGGTTTGGGAAATAAAACTTACGCAGCATCATAAAGAGTAGATGTAACTAAATTTTTAACATTATTTTCTTCAATATTTTGATTCATTATTTGTACGGCTGTTTTTGATATATCGTTAGCATATATTTGTTTAACTCCTGGAACTTCAAGAGCATATCTAATAGCTCGTAAACCAGTTGCCGCTAATGCTTCTAATATTTCTAAGCCTGACTACAAAGAAAAAAGAACAATAATTTTCTACATATTCATATGTTTTCATTAGGTAAATAAATGTAATAAAATTTATAAAAAAATTAAACATAATACATCCAACCAACTTCAGTTTGTGTTCCAATTTCTAGTTTCACAGGTTCAATTTCTATTGTGTTATTCTCATTGGGGGATCTTTGTCTTTTTCTAGTTTTTTGTTTTTCACTGTGATGGATTTCAGAAAATACTGATAGAACAGCAATGCTGAAATATACCAAATCATTATTACTTGTACAAACTATAAATAATATCTTAACAAAGTGTACATTTTTAAATAAACAATTTTATTGTTTATAATTCATTAAATAAATGAAGGAGATTAAAGAAATTTGAAAATTTATTAAAACGTTATTACAGCTACACTTTGTCATATTAAATAATAAAAAAGAACTATTTTCATTCTGAAAGTTTATCTTACTTTTATGTTGTATAAACCCTTTTAAATATTTAACTAAATACACTTTTTTTACTATGTAAATTAACAATAAATTAGAAAAATAAGCATCAGCTAATTTTTCAAATTTATTTAAGAGGTGACATGATTGAATAATTCAACAATATTTAAACTTTAATGCCGGGCTTTAATACAAGATTTAGTGGCCCGCGATTGGTCCATTTCATTATTAGTGAACCATTAAATTTAATAAATTATTTATGCAACCCAGCATAAGTGTATAAATTAACATTCATAGTATTTTTTACTAGCTATTACATAATATAGGTAATTTTTACAATTTTACCTTAAATCTCTATTGAACTCTTGCACAGGATTATAAAACACTTTGCTAGAGCTAGGGACCCGAATTTTTGCTTTCCCTTCCCTTATTTCCGTAAACTCGGATGAAGACTCCATGCCGAAAAGGCAGTAACCTAAACAATAAATATTACAATTAGTACCAATAACTAATAAGTGACAACATGTACAAGTAATAATAAAAAATATTCGTATCATAATATAAATGAATTTATACCTCGGTTAAATGTCAAATAACTAATGTATTATTTAATATAATATGTATAAATAATGTATTAATTATCAAAGTATCAATCTCGTATTCTAGTCATTACTAATTAACAGAAATTAAGAATTTACAGATTTTTAAACTTTTGGTTGCCTAATGCCTTAATTAGGCATTAATAATAGGAATTTTTTTAAATATTATATATTATTATTTTTTCAAACAACGACCATACAATGTGAGTTATAATTTTTAGAGTCGAAGATTTAAAGCCATATTATAGTTTTGATAGGAATTACGGATAATACGTGCTCGGAATCACATCGGATATTATAGGTAAATGATACTATCCGATGTCAATTGAGGTTATGTCCACCGGTATGTTTTTATTTTTCTTATCTAAAATAATTTTTCTGCCTACCTATCGGCTATCGCCTATCTGCCATAGCATGGTAATTTAATATATTATTTTATTAGTTGTAGTGTGACTGGACAGTGTCTATACTCAATAGTCTGTAGTTTCTTATGTCATAGTAGCCTAGCGTCTTAGCAGTCTGTTATTTCCGTGACATGTCAGTATGTTGTTACTTGTCGATTGTTAGTTAATAGTTATACCATGGTTATTTGGTGACTTTGGAGTTCAGCGTTCAACTTTGGATTTGGTGATGTGTATGTATTGCCTAGTGTTGTTCCATTATAATATGCATAAGGCTTGACATTTGACAGAACACCATAAAAATGGCACAGTTTTTATTCCGAGGACTCCGACTATACAACACCACTATTTTGAGCAAAACAGCAGCATGTTGCAAATGCGAGCGGAATACATTCAAACTGATCTCGTACGTACAACCGTCATTTGCGTCATTGTTAAACAAGAAATTGTACAGTTCACTAAGTGAAAAAAAACCTACTGAAACATCAGTAACGACACGTGCGCTCGATCCATTAGATAATATATTTGGAGAGGATAAAGATGAAAGACGCAAGGAAAAAGAAAAAGCGATCAAAAACTTAAAAATAGGTTTCTTCTTCATAGGTGCGTCATTAATGATGGTTCTTGGCTCTGGTCTTTATGTTCTGATGGATGATAATTACTACAAAAAAGATGAAGATGAAAAAGATACATATCCAGTACGTCTGTTTAATCGCGGAAGATTGGCAGTCAGAGAGTTTTTTGAATCGATGCGAGCGCCTTCTTACGAAAAGCTATTGCCTGATCCGTTGCCATATCCATATATCCAACCACCATACACATTGATTATAGAAATGACAGACCTACTCGTTCACCCAGAGTGGACATATGCAACTGGATGGAGATTTAAAAAGAGGCCAAATGTGGATCATTTCCTTGAGCAAGTATCTCAAAATTATGAAGTAGTTGTATTCACAGCTTCAAATGGATTTAACGTTTACCCAATTTTAGACAGTTTGGATAAAAATAATGTAATAATGTATAGACTTGTTAAGAATGCAACTGACTATATCGATGGACATCATGTAAAGAATATTGACCGTATTAACCGTGATTTATCTAGGGTGATTATGGTTGATTGGAATGCTGATTCAGTTAAATTACAAAGGGAAAATGCTTTAGTAATCCCTAGATGGACAGGCGAAGATGGTGATCAACAGTTGATTCAATTGGCCGAGTTTTTAAATGTAGTTTCAACAAGTGAAGTGAATGATGTAAGAGAAGTACTGTCATATTATAAACAGTTCGACCACCCACTTGAAGTTTTTAAAGAAAACCAAAGAAAATTATTAGAAATGCAAGAAGAACAAAAACAAATATCAGGCACGCTTCCAATAAATAAGGCGAGAGGCTCGTGGAAGGATAAATATCTGTATGGAAAATAAATTTCAACTGTTATTACATATTTTTATCTTTGTTTTTTTTTATACCATTAATAAAGTAGGTAGTAGATATTAATACTGCTCGACTATTATTTACTTTGTTATTATTTTTTTTTAATTCAAGAAGTCACCTGTTCATGCTTAGTAGTAAAACTATTGAGAATACCTAATAGTCTATTAGGAATATTTAGTTAATAAAATCATAAGTTGTAATGATTTAAACAATTTTGTACTTTCCTAGAAAATACCTTGGTTGAATATAGATCTAAATATTTATTTCACTTTGTTAATAATTTCTATCAATTAAAAAACAATGGGACTGCACATTAATTTATGGTGAATCAATAATACACAATACATTGATGATAGTAGTTGAGTATATTCAACTTTATACAATAAAGTAATATAAATGCCACAATTATAAGTGTTCAAGGAGTTAGGTAGGTAATCAAATCAATTGTTATGAAAGATGTTAAAGTTATCGAAGACTGACACTTTTAACAAAATGTTAAATAAAATACTAATTATTGCTAATAATATTTAGTCTGTACAATGCACAAAATATAAGTAGGTACTAGATACATAACTTAGTCTTTGAAAAATTAATTTCCCAAAGTTTTGTGTAAAATTTAGAATGGTAAATGTTTACAGATTACTTATAGCCTATAACTATATTATAATGACAATTGTTATGAGCTTATAATATATTTTATACATATGCATGTACAAACTACAAAGAGTATCCTGTGTTTAAGTATTGTGCAAACTTTCTAGAACTTTGCTGAAAGTAAAAGGGAAGAAATTCATAGAGAAAATTGAAATATAATGTTACTGCGTCATCAGCCATATTTACACATCATCATGTATGCGCGATATAATAATATAGGTACTGTTAAAAGTCAATAGCTATGTAAAACTACACAAATTCTCATTTACTTAAAAATTAATTTAAAAGGCATTAAAATGAAAACATTATGGATGAATGTTAATTAAAATAGTAACATATTATGGTTTCCAAGTACATACCTAAAGAATTTTACTCATTTGTTACTGAATTACCAATAAAATTTAATGTTAATATTTTTTAATTTTTAAAATAATACATACTTTATTATCAACTTACGTGTGTTATAATACAATATTGGATATCGTTTTATTAAAATTTGTATTTGATTAAATGTCATGATTATATAAAATTATTAGTCTTCATATAAGTAAAATAAATATTTTAAATTCTTAATCCAATAAGCATTATAATTTCAAAATATTACATTATAGATAAATGCATAAAATAAATTAATAAAAATTCCATGAACCTTCAATTAAATTATCCTAGTTTGTCATTATACCAGTTTTTGCTTTAAAAAATTTAAGAAATGGTGAAGTAAATTTAAAAATGATTGTTATTTAGTTGATTTGTAAGTTTTATTATACATCATCTATCTATGAAAAATATTTATTAATATTATACAATATTGTCAATATACATGCTGTAGTAGTTAATATTGTGAAATATATAAATTCTTAAATTTGTTTTTCATAAATAAAATAGAAACGTTAACGTTGTCCAGAGTTTGAACTTTGATGATGAAACATTAAACAATTGAGGCAATAAAAATTTAATTTCGAAAAATATCTGAAATCTGAATAAAAAAATCAACTTGGTGATGTCAGACTGTGGTAGTGGGGTCAGATCACCCTAAAAGTGATAAACTGATAACTGATAACGGTAAGTGTATTAAAAAAACTTTTGAGACTTTAATTTGAGTGGGCTAAATCCACCAAAGACTAATAACCAAGGACAGGCATTTTAGGGGTTAATATTAATGTGACACTTATCCGATTGAGCATAAGGGTAACATATTACAAATTACAATGTAGGTTAAATTAATTGTATGACTTAGTTTAAAATAATTGTATTGCTATGATGTATAATTTTATAATATTTCCAGTTGAATTCCAAAAAAATTTGAACATTTTTAGAAAAATATCTTCCTTTTGTAGTATTAAATCATAAGGGTACTACTCTATGTATAAATTAAACTGTGATGTATCATAAAATCATATCATTCATAATTCAAAATTGGGCGGTTCATTAAAAAAAAATTAAATTTATCGTTTACTCCATGAAATCCACGCGTTTGTATTTATCTCGCTTTAACCATGATTATATCAAATTTATCTCTCCAAGTGCAAACATCGCTAATGTTATGTTATGTTTATCCATATTCCACGGTCGTGGTGTAACGAAATTTTATCTTTTACTTCAACAGCCTTAAATTTTCATTTTTTATTTTATATTATTTCATATTATTTTGACTTTTGATAAGATATTGTTTACATATTTTTTTTATGAACACAATAACATTGGTGTTAAACAATACTGTTAAATGTATTTAGTTATAAGTTTTTGTTATTAGCCTCTTGACTGTTCAGTGTTCAAAATGGATTCCGACGTAGACTCCGAACTAAAATCAGATTTCACGTCGTACCTAGAGCACATATCCCAAAGAAAAGTATGTACCTATTCCGTTAAAAAAAAAAATGTGTTTATGAATGAATAATTTAATGACTGTTGTATGTGAATGCGTAGAAATATCAACAAAATACAACATTAACCGAACACAGTTATTCGTCAGCAGAATATCAACAAGACAATTTGTGTTCTACAATTCAAACATTATTTATACACAGATCTGTTCAAAAGTAAACCTAATGCACTGTTGTACCATATTGTGAATCATCCAACTAACTTGGCACAATTATTTTTTCTTTTTAGTGAAGTTTCTACTGACGACGTTGACATTGAAACTGTTGACAAAGATGTGAAGTTATTAACATATAGACCTGATTTTGAAGCTAAATCAATAGAATCATATAGAAATTCAAAATTACCTAGAGACCCTGAAATGTGGGAAGATAATATTAACAAGTATGTTTGCAACTTTCAATATCATTATAACAATCCTGAGTCACTAAATACATATTTTTGAACTGCTTGATTGTAAATACAACTAAAAATTGTCTTGTATAACTGAATGTGATACTTGAAAGACATTATCATCCAGGAAATGTTGGAAATTGTGAAAACATTTGATATTGCCTGGCTATTAATGCCAGGAATCAACTTAATTGGACCTAATGGCTAATACGAAAAATTAACATAATTATTTGTTATAGACAACGGTGGAATAAACTTGAGCGGACTTTGTTTGAAAGAGCTCTATCTATTTTATATGCAAATCGTTTATCAAGATTAACGTACGAAGGTACAGTGCAAGAGTATGTTCAAAAAATCATATCTACTGAAAAATCAGTGGCTGAAATGCACCATCTATTAACTAATTACACTCACTGGGACATATCATTATCTCAATGGTTGCATGGACTATTCATTTCTAATTTACCAGATGACTATCTTGCATCCTACATTGATATATTAGAGGTATTTAAATAATTATATATTTTTTTCTGTTTTACTTACTGTTTTATATTTTTTTTAATAGAAATTGAAACAAATTGCTCCATCATTTGTAAATGATATGATATCTGCAAATTCAATAGGACGTTCTAAAGAAGAAATTAAATCAAAATCAATTAATCTAGATGAACCTGTTGATCCTTTTAACTATATGTTGATAACTTACCCACCCGTAAGTATAATAAATGTTTAAATTTCATGTGATAATTTATATTCAATTAAGTAAAGTAACACAAAAATATTTTAGCTAAAATTACCAAAAAATCCTGTTATAATATTAGTACCAGACTTTCCTGGTTATTGTACACAACCAAATACAAGGACTTATGATTGGATGAATGCCCTATCATATTTAGCAGAATTAGATGTTGCTTTAGCAGCGAAAGGTAAATAAAACTTTTACACATTTAATACTCGTTCAATACTTTTTCAATCAATTTGTATGATATTTTTCATAGTAATAATATGAAACATATTATATTGTATTTAAGTCATTATCAGGACCGGCTCAATGTAATAACGAAATAGGCAGCCGCTTAGGGCGTCACTAGTGTGGGGGCGGCAAATTTCAAATGAACCAAAGTGATTTAATTATTATAATATATATAATATAATATAGTATGCTGAATTGTATGTTCATTGTTCAAAATATACAAAAATAGTTTACCGAGAACGCACCAAAGTCGTAATACTGCATGAATATAAATAGAATAGCGATAACGATACATTCATTAGTCGACCACAGACAAATGCACATTCTTATCGAGTTTAGAATGATTGACAATGAACAACGGACACAACGGCATTTAGTCCCAGACTTTCAGCCGCCCGCCTAACACGTAAATAATTTTTGCTGTAGAGTGATAGTGATAGTGGACCAAGTGCTTGAACGTGTACAATTTTTATTAAAATAAATTTATAACTGCATCACTTAATTGGCATTAATTTTGTTGAATTATCACGTTAATATTTATTGAATATGTCAGGGCAAAAACATATACGGTTATCACTAGCTGCATATCGAAAACAAAAATTAAAACGTGATGAAGAAATTAAAAAAACTCTGGTTCCTTTGAAGAATATATGAAAAAAAATAATGAAGTTTTAAATAATCCAGAAACACATTCTGAAATTATTTTTGAAGAACTAAATACCTTAGAAGTTACTTACAGTTTAAAAGAAGTTGGTAACTCAGAACAAATTTCCGATAGCAATGACATTTTCAATAATGAAATAAACACAACTTTGGAAGAAAATACGAGTATTAAATCAAGTGAAAATAACATATCTGACCCCGGGACATGGCCAGCGATTTTTTCAGATTCATTACGACTTCAATTAGTAAAAACAGGTCCCATTAAACCAAATAAAGATTTCAAATATCCTAGAGATGCGTTAAATCGACGGTTTCCAGTCAAACCAGTCAAAACATAACATTGAACATGGTTCATAGATAAAAATGGATGTCCTTATTTTATTCAACCCCCTCCTCTCCAAAAAATTAACTATTTCATAGGGCAGC